CCAAAAACAAACAATTATTTTTACGTTTTTGACAAAGATTTTATTCATATTGATCAATAGTATCTAAATTGGACATATATATCGATATCTCTAAATTTGAAAACACAATTAAGTACAGGTAGTTTCGGAAGATTTTCTTTTACATATTTGATATTGTCATGCAAAAGTGCAGTTTTACGAATAAAAACAGATTTTAAGAGATCATTACTGCGCACAAAAAAAAAAAGAGTAACACCTTCATTTTCTTATAAAACGCGATATTTCATGTAAATGTACTTCTGTAACTAATAAACGTATTTCTGTTCGAACTTCGAGAACGTAGAGTATTAATTTAGCTTACAAGAAAAAAAAAGGCTAACCAAAGCTTTGCTGGGTATGCTATTTGCAGAATGGGCTGACAAACCGTGCAACATATACGGTAACCCCCCCCCCCCCCCAAAAAAAAGGATTGCTGGAAGCAAGTTATTACAATCAAATAGAAAACATTGTAGGAAAAAAGTTTCAGCGTTTTGTTGAGGTAAGATAAAAGGCTTATATACGTGCCAAATAGCAAAGAAATTTGAAACAATTTCTTTATTTAAATTTTGTTGATCATATTTCCAAGTTTGATTCCTGCGCTTGAATTCAACATCAATAATTGCTAAAAATTCTGTATCTTGTGAACACTAGTTTTAACTGTTTCGAACACTATTGTTTGTTTGCTTTAAATTTCGCGCAAAGCTACACGAGGGGTATCTGCGCTAGCCCTCTCTAATTTAGCAGTGATAGACTAGAGGGAAGGCAGTTAGTCATCAACACTTACTGCCAACTCTTGAGCTACTCTTTTACCAACGAATAGTGGGATTGACCATCATATTATAACGCCCCCACGGCTGAGAGGCGGGCATGTTTTGTGGGATGGAGATTCGAACCCGCGACCCTCAGATTGCGAGTCAAATGCCCTAACCACCTGGCCATGCCGGGCCATCGAACACTAAATTCTTTCCATCAGATCAACTGTTATAAAAAAGGGCAAAGAAAATAATATATATATACATATATATATATGAAAAAAGAAGATATACACTTAGAGCCATGTTGGGGTAAAACTTGAAAATAAGAAAACATTTAGATAGTTTTTCACTGTACTTTAGGGTAAACTCGGGAAACAAATATAGTTAACTTATAATTTGTAAATTAAAAGGAAGAAACAAAAACAGAAGAAAAAATAAACTTATGAACTTAAACAAAAAGCATAAGGAATTGTAAAATCTCCACGGCTCTGGGTCACGGTTATGTGTCATATTTATGTATTAAAAGATAAATTAAAAATCCTTCACGCAAGTGGCGTGCAAGGACATGTCCATAGGCTACGTGAAATGATTTATCACGTGCTAATA